GCCTCGGGCACTGGTTACAAAGGTACGTTTACCTGGTAAGAACTCATGAGGCTGACCACGGACTGTCCTCACCTACAGGCAGGTAATACTTCAATCAGAAGTTTAAAAGATCTTACTGAAACAGAAAAGGCATCAGTACTGACCTCAAAAACACAAAACGATACACTAGGAGAGACCCAGACAGGAGCACACAGCCTACAGGCGGGTCACAGCCAGCCCCAATCCACTGGACTCCCTGAGGAGCTGAGGCCACCAAGGAGCATCCCCAGACTCCCCACAGGCAGAGCGCAGCCCAGGCCTCACCCCACAGTCTCCCTGAGTATCTGGGGAGCATGCCCAGACTCCCCCCGACCTCGCCCCGTGCAGGCAGGCCTTCACAGACAGCTGAACTGCAGAGACCAGAACCACCTGCAGCAGCCCCGCTCAGATCCCCGACCCTGAGAAAAGATAATGATGTTTAAGAAAAAAACAGCAATGATGCAGTTTCCATGGCTCCTCTTCCTCAGACATAATGAAGTGAGCAAAGCAGCCCTCGGCAGTTGTACCTACAGAGAGCCATTAGCTTATTGGTTTAAATTGGCAACTCTCCCCTCCTCAAAGGACTGTGGCACAATATTGCTTTCAAATCCCAACTAAGAAAGAAAATACAGCTGGTGGTGATGCACATCAATTTCCAGATCAGATCAGATGGAAGCTCAGCTCTCCATAACGCAGACACGGATCTTCTGCATCCTCCACTGTACTCCTCTAAATTAGACATTATCCGTCAGTCATGGAGTCTGCGTTTTGCTGCATCAGTGTTCAAATGATGCCTTCTGTATATATTTGCATTCCTTCACTGTTCTTCAGATCTCTCCCACTGGAGCAAACACTCAGTCACGAAGGAAGCATGAATACATCCGTCATTTACTTGCAAGACAGAGATGGAGAGAGACAGACTACGATGCCATCATCAGCCCCTTCACTCCCCAAATGCCTGCAAAGCCAGGAGCTAGGAAGCCGCGCAGGTCTCCCCGGCGCACAGCAGAAAACCACAGCACTGGCTCTGGGCCACGTTAGCAGCACACTGGAGGTCAGGCCCAGGGACTACCTTTACCAGTAAGCCACAGGCCTGCCTCAACAGACTGTTTTTAAAAGGATAGCATCATTCCTATAAATGCACACAGAAGCTCTGTCCAGGAGGGTGAGGGACGCAGCTGCTCCAACATTACCTGGCACTCCAGTGGCATCACCGGAAATCAGCTAACACATTCAGATTTGTTACTTCTGAAAGCTGCCCCAGGACAGCCTCTGGATGCGACCTTTGGCCATCGTCCGGCGTCCTTTCACCGAGTCTTCTCGGGAGGGCCTCACACACATACATCAAGTAAATTCTGTCTTACTTCTCTGGAAAATGCTGCAGAAATTACTGCTTTTTCCTCCTAGAAATTGCAGAAGTTACACAGGACTCCTGTCTCAGAAGAGGCTCCCCACAGTGCCAATCCAGTGCCAATCGTTTCTTTGCAGGTGCAAGGAAAGAACCACCGAATTCTGCAAGGACCTGGCTTGTGGTTCACTGTTACACTTTAACCTGCTGCATGTAATGATTCCTCGCAACTCCCTCCTCCCTCCGGTTACCACTGGCAGTCAATATTTAATGACTGGGCCTGAAACTTCAAACCATGACTATTTTGAAATTACTCTGTCAGACACTAGTGTGTTAAGATTCCATGTAAAGCCCAATGCACACGAACCTCCAAACCTGTTCACTTACAATGACTGTGTATTTAACATCAGAAGACAGCACCTAACTAAGCACATCCCCCCGCCCCCCACACTAAAGCTAACACCCTTTCCCTCGATCACTGCTGCACCTCCACATCCACCCAGCGCAGGAGGGACACTGAATCTGTGCTATCTTCATTTCACTGTATGTATGTATTCTTTTTAATGGAAGGATGGGCAACTGCAGATAACCCAACACCAGTGAACTCCTGCCCATCCTCAGCTGTAAGCACTGCCTCTGGCGTAGAGCTAGATAAGGTTATCTGAGACCAAGAGCAAGAAACCCCATCACAGCAAGGAGCCGCTCAGGGCCACTCCTCCAGAGGCAGGGCTCAGAGACAAACCGGATTCAAGTCTTCCATCAGTCAGGCTTCATGGCACTTGACATCTTCCACAGGATGATGCGCAGGGCTTGAGCCTGAGAATCTGAGAACTTGCCTGGCATCCAACATTGAGAGAAGCACCAGATACATAACGACTCAACTCTGCCACTCTACACATGCAACCTCTGATGTGCCACTGTCCTGCAAGACACACCAGACTCTTCCAGAAACCTCACAGTGCCATGGCTCAATGGCTAAATCTTCACCTTGCAAGTGCCAGGTTCCCATATAGACGCCAGTTCCTGTCCCGGCTGCTCCACTTCTCCTCCAGCTCCCTGCTTGTGGCCTGGGAAAGCAGTCCAGGATGGCCCAAAACCTTGGGACCCTGCACCCGTGTGGGAGACCTGGAAGAAGATTCTGGCTCCTGGCTTGGAACTGCCTCAGCTCCAGCCGTTGTGGCCATGTGGAGACTGAACCAGTGGACAGAAGATCTTTGTGTTTCTCCTTTTCTCCATAAATCTGATCTGCCTTTCCAATAAAAATAAGTGAACAAATCTTTAAGAACCAAAGCACTTGGGTGTCGTGGACTGGCCTCGTGGACTGGCCTCTCCTGCCTGGACCACGCACATCACCCTCAGCAGGTCTTTGGCCACGGTGTCTGCCACCCTCAAGCTGCAGAAACGTTCCACGCTAAAACTCAGCACTCTCGCAAAGAAAAGCAATCTGCCCTGGTCTCTCTAAAGAGAAAAAAATAAGTTCCCTCACAAGCGCATCCTGTCGCTGTAAGGGCCACCGAACACTCATTTCGAGTGACGCAGTACTGTTCTTCCAAGCAAATAAAGGGGACTGGCACTGCGGCCAGCTGTGGTGGGGAAAGCTGCTTCCTGCCTCACTGCCATCCTGTCTGCCCTACTGCCGACCCAGCACCCTGCTAAATGCTCCAGGAAAACAGTGGGAGACCGCCTTGGTGCCTGGGCCCCTGCCACCCACATGGGAGACCTGGAGAAAGCTGCCCAGTGCTGACCAGTGTGGCCATCTGGGGCCTGAACCAGCGGACGGCAGACAGATGCCCTCACCCCCTGCCTTTCTCTCCGTAACACTTTCAAATAATCCTTTTTAAAAAGTAAACAGAGTAAGCCTAAAACACTGACCAACATGCTCCCCTCTGATGTTAGCAAGTCAGTAAGTTCTCGCTTTAGGTGAGTGAGTGAAAACAATCTCCTTCCTGGAAATACATTCTCCATTGAGAAACAAAAAAAAACCGCAATGAAGACATTTTTGCTCTGACATATTTTGACTTGCTAATAGAAAAGACAACAGACAACAGCTTTGCTTCAAAACGGCGAACCACGCAGAGGTTAACGCTTGACAGGAGACGTAACAGCCGGATTTTCATAAAAAGCTCCGACTTCCTCCTCACTACACAGCATCAGTCAGCAAACTACCAGCTACTCATCCCTGCCTCTGGAATGCTCAGGGCCGGGCACTCCGCCCACGCCCAGGAGACAGGAGCCAAGGCACAGGTCCCCACAGCCGGACCCTGCACATTTCTTCATTTGATGCTTTGCCTGCTTACTACTCTTTATAAGCTTTTTTTTTTTTTTTAAAGCAAAGGCCCCAGGCTTAGAGAAATTTCTTGCAGAAATGACCATTCTTGAGTGCCCTGGCTTTGTATCAAGTTTTGCTGCTAGTTCTGAAAGAGGCCATGACGCTGGCCTTGAAAGGCACATCATCTCAGGGGGTGAAGTTTCTTGATACAATACTGCCCCGCTTAACTTGTTGCTTCGCCCTGCGAAGACCTTAACCACCTCTGGGCCTCACTCCGATGCGCTGCCCTGAAGCAGCAGCCTGCAGAGCCGCTGCGCTGAATCCGAACCCAAGCAGACTGCGGCTCTCTCATCTCCACTTCCCGACCAAAACACGGAGCCCGCGTGCTGGGTTACCCAGAAAAGCAGCAGACGCGCGCCGCAGACCTACCAGGTCCAAGGCACAGAGAGGGGAGGCGGGGAGAGAAAACTTTTCCTAGTCTGCAAGTAACGAACCCCTGTGCCCTTCCACGCCTCTGCTGCTAGTCAGCATGGGCTCTCCGTTCCCTGCAGGGCCAGCACTGACTGCCTGCACGCCTTTTCGACCCCTCTCCCACGGCGGAGGGGAGCCTGACACACCCCCTTCACCCCGGGGCTCACGGGAGAGGGGTTGGGCGCGTGGCCCCGGGCGTGGGGCATTCGGAAGAAGAAGACGCGATGGAGACGGGCCGAGGCCTGCGCTGGCATTTTGGAGGACTCGAGGCAGCTCGGTCTTGTGTTGGAAGGCGGGAGTGCAAGGCCCCGGGAGGACGAGGGGACAGGCACCGGTGCGCGTGTTCGGGGCGACCCAGAAGGCGGTGGCGGGAAGCAGCCAGGAGAGCGAGGTTGGGCCGCGCCAGCTCCTCTCTCTCTTTTTTGTTACTCCTGGAGGACCGCCGGCGGGTGTGTGTGCGTGTGCGTGCGTGCGAGGACTTCCCTCTTCCCCAGTCCGTGAGCTGGCGGGAAGCAGAGGACCGGCCGAGGCGCCGGGATCCCGGCGAGCAGGAGGACGTGGGCTGTGCACGCCGCGGCCCCTGCCCTCCTCCTGCTCCTCCTCCTCCGGCCCGCGCCGTGCGCGCAGGCGTGGGGGGCCGGGTGGCTGGGTGCGAGGGCATGCAAGAGACCACCACCCCGCCAATCCCCGGAACCCCCGAGCCCGGGAGAGGCGGGAAAGGCCCCCGGAGCTCCGGGCCGGGCGTCCGTGGGGGAAGCCGCGGCCTCACGAGCCCGGAGCCGGCCCGAGCCTGAGGGCCGCGTGCGCCACCCCACCAGCACCGCCAGCACCCCCCCCCTCCGGTCGCCGCACTGCCCACCTTCCCCCGTGGCCGCCCCCCGCCGCTCCCCTCACCTGCACATGATCCGCCATTTTGCTCCATTCATGCTCCTCTGCGGCCCCCCCTCCCCCCCAGCGCGCTCCTCGGCCGGGGCCGCCGCCGCCGCCGCCGCCGCCGCTGTGGCCGCTGTTGCCGCTGTTGCCGCCGTCGTCGGCGTCGGCGTCGCCGCTGCGCCTGCGCGCTGGGGGCCCGTCGCGCTACGCTCGCGGCGTAGCGGCGCTCGGCTGCGCGGGCCCGCCGCGGCGACGCACGCCGGCCTTGGAGAATGCGCAGCGCGCGCGGACGACGTCAGCGGCCCCGAGACGCCGGGTGGGAGGAAGCGGCGGGCGCGGAGGAGACGCCGAGGAGGAGGAGGAGGAGGAGGAGGAGGAGGAGAAGAAGGAGGAGGGATTGTGTGTGTGGGGGAAACAAAGCTTTGTTTACATGGTGCTTTAAAGGGGCCGCGCTCTGCGGGCCCGGCCTGGGAGCTGGCGCTGCGGGCGGAGGAGGGTCTCCCGGAGCCCGGGCGCGGGATCCTCTCCATCCCTTCCACCACAGGACTGGTCCTGGCGGGAGGTGTGCGGGTCAGGCGTGGGTCCCATCGGGAACTGTCAGTGTTAGCCACACACGGGCTGCTGTTTCCCAGTGCATTCCAACCCCTGGTTTCTGTCATCCCCCGAGCCCCCTTCACCTCCCACCTGCTCCTTGAAGCTGGGGGAAGGCCTGTGGATGTGTCTGGGGCAGGGGGTAAGGCCAGGAGGGGCATGCACAGCTGAGTCTGCCCTTCTATCTTGTGGGATACCGCCAGGGCTGGAGCTCGACGTAGCGTTGTTGTCGCCGCCTCTGTCTTTGCCTAGTGTGTTTTCCTGGTTGGACGAGGTAGAATGCACCTGCCAACTACATTACCCAGGTGTCCTGGCGGCTGCGCGCAGATGGATTGTTTTAGGGCATTGGAGGCGGCAGAGGTGTTGTAGCGCTTTGGTTTCTGTCTTCCAGCGGCCTTCAGCGCCCCATCCTTTCGCTCCCTGAGGTGCAAAGAGGAAGAGTGTAGGAGTGAGGAGTTCCGAGAACTTGCCTGGCCCCGCCGTGGTATATTCTTAGTGCCTACGCTCACAGGGTCCTTACATTCCCACCACATGCCTGACTGAGTGGAAGCAACAACTTCCTGCTGTTCTAGGCTCATCCTGTATCCCGCACACTTGTTTTTCTTCCTGGGCCCCTCACTCCTGGGGAGGTGGACCTGTCGTTGACCCACTTGCTCCGAGCAGACACGCAGGAGTGATTCCACAGGGCCCATCAGCTGCCCGACTTCTACACCTGATAGCCCAGTTCAGTATAGAGCAGGGACCGGGACCATAGTCTGAGGTCCACCTATGGCGTTGGCACCCCATATGGGCACTGATTTGAATCCCAGCTGCTCCCTGCCTTTGGTCTGGGAAAGTGGTCAAGGACAGCCTTAGACAGTCTTAGACCCCCGTACTCATGTGAGAGACCCGGAAGAAGCTCCTGGCTCCTGGCTTTAGATCGGCTCGGCTCCAGCTGTTGCAGCCATTTGGAAAGTGAATCAGTGGGTGGAAGAGCTCTAACTTTGAAGATCTACACCATGGCACCAGTCCCCCCAAAATAGAGCTTAACAGGAGCAACAAGAAGAAAGGAACGTTTTTCCTCCGGTGAGCTGTTTTTGTCTCCTGCTGATTTCCAGTCTCAGTGGTCACCTCTTCAGAAAGGCTTTTCTTGGGCCCGGCGTGGTGGCGCAAGTGGTTAAGGTCCTCGCCTTGCACGCCCCGGGATCCCATATGGGTGCCGGTTCTAGTCCCGGCAGCCCCACTTCCCTTCCAGCTCCCTGCCTGTGGCCCGGGAAAGCAGTCGTGGCCCGGGAAAGCAGTCGAGGATGGCCCAAAGCCGAAGGTACTTCGGTGTTTTTCTTACCGCCAGGCTTCTGTTTGTCTTGCCGGTCCCGTGTCCCTCGTACCTGAATAGAGTGGGTGCTCAGAACCTAAACGTGGAATGGGTTTGCTTCTTCATGTCTGTCTCCGTCAGGGAGGGGTTTGTTGGACGTGCGGGTGGGATGTGAACGGGAACAACCCTGAAGTGTCATGTGGATGTTAAGCAATGTTGTTGCTGGGTTGTAGCCCCTCCCCAAGGCTTCAGAACCCTTTCTTGCTACTGGGAGAAGTAGTTCAGACAATGGAGCAAGAAAGTAGGGCCCAGCACCTACTGGTCCCTGGCTTTGGACTGACCCAGCTCTGGCCATTGACCCAGCTCTGGCCATTGCAAACACTTGGGAATGTGCCGACAGAGGAGAGCTTGCTGTGTCTGGCCTTCTCTTTCTCTGTAGATCTGCCTTTGAAATAAATAAATCTTAAAATAAAAAAAGTTATAAATTTCTTGGTGCTGTGGTTTCCTCTGATCTCGGTCAGTCTTCACTCTTGCTGCAAGAAAAACCACTGTAGAAAAAAAAAAAAGCCTTCCATCGGGTCAGCACAGTGGTGCAGCAGGCTAATCCTCCTCCTGAAGTGCTGACACCCATATGGGCAACAGTTCATGCTGGAGCTGTTCCACTCCGATCCAGCTCCCTCATAGTGACCTGGGAAAACAGCGGGTAATGGCTTGATGTTCCTGGCTTAAAATTGCTCAACTTTTTTTTGACCATTTGGGAAGTCAGTCAGTGGTTGAAAGATTTTTCTGTCTCTTCCTCTCTCTCTAAATCTGCCTTTCCAGGAAAAATAAATATATCTTTAAAAAAAGAGAGAGAGAGCGATCGATCTTCTATCAGCTGGTTCACCTCCCCAAAGGCTGCCATGGCTATAGCTGAGCCAGGAGTCTCTCCTGGTCTCCCAAGTAAGTGCAGGGACCAAGGCTTTGGGCCGTCCTTGACTGCTTTCCCAGGCCACAGGCAGGGAGCTGGATGGGAAGTGGAGCAGCTGGAATGATAATCAATGCTCATATGAGATGTCAGTGCCTGGAGGTGGAAGACTAGTTGGTTGAGCCATTGCACCAGCCCCCAAATAAAAATGTTTTTAAGGTTTTTTTTTTTTCTTATTGAAAAGTCAAATTTACAGAGAGAAGGAGATACAGAGAGAAAGATGTTCTGTCCACTAGTTCGTTCCCCCAAGTAGCCGCAATGGCCAGACCTGAGCTGATCTGAAGCCAGGAGCCAGGAGCTTCTTCTGTGTCTCCCACGTGGATATAGCGTCTCAAGGTCTTGGGCTGTCTTCTGCTTTCCCAAGCCACAGACATGGAGCTGGATGGGAAGTGGAGGGGCCCAGGATACAAATGGCACCCATATGGGATTTCGGCATGTTCAAGGTGAGGATTTAGCCACTAGGCTATTGCATCTGGTCCCAAACAAATGAATTTTTAAAAAGAAAAAAGTGGTTCCCCACGGCTTGATAATTCAGGCAGACGTGGGGGTTCTTGGCTTCTACTCAAAGGAAAGGGAAGCCAAGAGGCACCTGAAGCCCTGACTGGGACCTTTCCAACACTTTGCCTTCCCCGTGGTGGATGCTTAGAAACACTAAGGGCCTCCAGTGCCCTGCACTGCTCTGCTGTGTCTCGGAGCAGTGTCTGCAGGGGGGCTGCACGAAGTGGGGGCGCTGGGCATGAGTGTGCCACTTGAGGGTCCCCAAGAAGAGTCAGAGGGGCCTTGAAGGAGCGCAGGCGTGTGGCTCTGCTGCCGTCTAGCTGTCGCACGGGCCCTGAGGCTGGCCGACCCCCAGCAGCCAAGCTAGGAGGGCACAGGGCGTCCTGCCTTACCTGGGGCTCAGGCTCAGGGTTGGAAAGGTTCCCTGTCATCTGGGAAGCGCGGGTGCCCCCCTGTGGTTCCCGATGGAATATGTCCACTCAGGACCCTGAGGGTGGCAGGGGACTCTGTCCCGTTGCTGCTCTAAGCCTGGTCCGGTGCGCTCAGCGCCCCCTCCTGGCAGTCAGCACCCCAGACCAGCTGCCTTGATTTTTGACATTTGCAGCAAGATGTATGTGCGGAGTTCAGAGGCATGTTGGTGTTGACACTAAACCTCCATCTGCAGCGCCTGCATCCTATTTGGTGCCGGTTCGTGTCCTGGCTGCTGTACTTCTGATCTAGGTCTCTGCTTGTGGCCTGGGAAAGCAGCAGAGGATGGCTCAAAGCCTTGGGCGGCTGCACCCGCATGGGAGACCCAGAAGGAAGCTCCTGGCTCCTGGCTGGAGATCAGTTCAGCTCTGGCTGTTGGGGCCATCTGGGGAGTGAGCCAGGGGGTGGAAGATCTCTGTCTTTCACTCCCTCTCTACAAAAACTGTCTTTTAAGCAAAAGAAACTGCTCTCGCAGCCTCCCCACCCTCATCCCCCCAGCCCCTGCTTCACATGATGAGCCCTCTCTCCTTCCCATACAGGAAAGCTGCTTCCAGATGGAGCTGAGTCTCCTTAAGGACTCTTGAAACAGAAGGGGTGTCGCCCAGTTCCATGCTGCTAAACCACTCCCTAAGGTGCGTGACCTTGATTCCTCCCTTGGGTTAGGGGGTCAGCCTGTTCAAACAGGTGGCAGAGTGCTGTCCTCCCAGCACTCCCCCCACTCGTCTTTCCAGGCTGCTTTGTGTTGCACCCACAGGAGGACGCGTGTGCACAGCCTTTCCTGCCTTTTCTGGGCAGCTGAACCCCTGCGGTGGAGAAAATGGGACAGGGTTCACTCCAAGAGTGTGTGCTGGTCCGTGTCTGCTTCCCACAATCGTTCTCCGTGCAAGTGTGCTTTTCTTTTTAATTTTTAGTTTTTATTGGAAAGTCAGATTTACAAAGAGCAAAGACAAAGATCTTCCACCGGCCAGGTCACTACCTAAGTAACCATGATCGTCAAAACTCAGCCAATCTGAAGCCAGGAGCCTGGAGCTTCTTCCGGGTCTCCCATACAGGTGCAGGGTCCCAAGACTTTCGGCCGTCCTCGACTGCTTTCCCAGGCCACAAGCAGAGAGCTGGATGGGGAAGTGGAGCAGCCTGGACACAAACCAGTGCCCATATGGGATCCTGGCGTGTGCAAGGCGAGGATTTACCCTCAGGCTCCCATGCTGGGCCCCCAGGTTGCTTCTAAGCATCTGGTTTTGAGTCAGATTTCTCTGAGGAGTTGGGATTTCCTAAAGCAGTAGGTCTTCTCACATGCAGTGTGGATTCTGAAGAACCT